TATTAGGGTGACAATGCACATGGCAAACACCCCAGACTTAACCCAGACCATTCCTTCTGGTGAGTGAATTCCAAGTCCATTTATTAGGAATCCAGTATGGGATTTGGCCTGTGGGAAATAGTGGTAACAGGCCCTCTGTGGTACTGATTTCTTTCTTTCTTTTTTCTTTTTTTTCAAGACAGGGTTTCTCTGTGTAATTTTGGTGCCTGTAGACCAGGCTGGCCTCGAACTCACAGAGATCCACCTGTTCTCTGCCTTGGGAGTGCTGGGATTAAAGGCATATACCACCACCACCAGGCACAGCCAAGGCTTTTAACCAGTCCTCATATTTTTAAAAACGTGTGTGTGTGTGTGTGTGTGTGTGTGTGTGTGTGTGTGTGTGTGTGTGTGTAGGCCAGAGGACAATTTCAGAGGTCATTCTCAGGAGCTGTTAACCTCCAGACAGGATATCTCATGGGTCTGGAGCTCACCAATTAAACTAGGATGGCTGACGAGGAATCCTCAGCTTATGTGGTGCCACGGACTAAAGCCAGAGCCTGAAGCATGTTTGGCAACCACTCTACTAACCCGGCTACATCCCAGGCCCTCATCCTTCTCTATGAAGGAAAAAATGGCTCCCTACCACTTCCCGCTCCATTCTAGGCAGCTGCCTCGTGCCACTGTATCATTGCTGTTGTGTGGCCATACAATCCCCCTTTACACACACACCCTTACACACACCCTCACACACATAACTTTACACGCACACCCTTACACACACATACCCTTACACACACACCCTTACATACACATCCCTTCTTACACACCCTGACACACACACATTCCCCCTAAACATACACATCCCCCCTTACACACAGAAAGAGACTACCTATCGTCCAGAGAGTTTCTAGGAACAGACCACAGTGCCTCAGGGACTGTGTGTCCAGCTCTGGCCCGAGTGAAGTTTGCCCATGGGGAACAGTCCTGCCCGGAGCCTGCAACCACCATGCAGGCGGCTCCTGGCAAGTCCCAACAGGTTGGCAAGTGGGCTGGCAGGCAGGAAGAGGGCTGCCCTCTGCTTGCTCCTGAGTCTCTCCCTGTCTCTCCCTGCTGTAATTTACTCAATCCATCTGGGGCTCCTTTGAGCCATTTTCTGGAAATGCCACATTTCAAGGATCTCCCTGTTAGTAAAGGTCAGAGAGTTCATGAGGGCCTTTCATGTTAAAGGAACTTGAAAGGAAAGGAGAGGAAATGTGTATTTTCAGCCTTAGCTATGATTAAGTGGGCTCAGGCCATGAGAACAGTCAGATGATTTACATGGCATTACATGAAGAGCCAATTAGCCTAACAACTTCCGAAAAATATCTAGCTCACGAGCACCCATTTATTAGAGCCTTGGAATGTGCCAGGCTTTGTGCGGAACTCTTTACTAGGAGACAGTGATTCACCCAGCCTCACACTAGCGTGAAGGAGGGGCAGGCCCAGATCAACACCCAGGTCCCCCAGGGTAGGAACTCCAGAGGGGTCCTTTGACTTCTGCCTCTGCGGCCCGTCAAGTTCACCTGGCTCATTTACATACCGATGAAGTCTGGTTTACTCTTACCACTTGTGGCTCGGCCACAGAAAATTTGGATCTCCCCCACAGCTAGTCTGGTCCTCCAACTCTCTGGGAACTTCCAGGGGAGTAGCCACCAAAGGGCTTGGCCGCTGAGACACATTTTGAGAGATCCCCTCACCCCTTTGGGACAGGGTCCTATGTAGTGGGTCCAGGATGACCATGAACTTCTGATCTCCCTACACATATCTACTGAGTTCTAGAATTGTAAGCATGAGCCACCACCCTCAGTTTATGTGGGATCAAACCCAGTGCTTCACACATGCTCGGCAAGCATTCTACCAACCAAGCCTCACCCCTAGCCTCTAGTCCCCTCCACAGCCTTTCCACGAAACAAGGATCATCCTCAAAATCAGGATCTTCTATTAGCCATAGCTGGTTCCTCGGCATTTCGTTTGCCAATGCTGTACAATAAATAAGAAGTTCCTTCCCAGCACTCCGATGGCAGAGACAGGCAGATCTCTGTGAGTTCGAGGCCAGCCTGGTCTACAACAGATGTTCTAGGACAGCCAGGGCTACACAGAGAAACCTTGTCTTGAGGGGAAAAAAATAATGTTCCTCTGAGATCTGTCTGGGATCTAAGTGTGGAAGTCAGTTAGGTTCTGGAGTCTGACCACCAGGAGCTGGAAGCTGAGCTCAGCACCCTCATTTGGAAGCTGTGACACCTTGGGTGACTCACACAACCTCTCTGAGCTTGAGTTTCCTCATTAGTAAAATGGGGACAATTGTCCCCGTGTCACAGGGTTCAGTAATGATTAAATGAGGTGATATGTGTGCAGCTAGCTCCTAAGGAGGTCGGCACACTGTAATCACTGGTATATGAAGCCATCCGTCAGGAATTCATGCTTTCTGGGCAAGGGGCTCCTGCGGGGGATACCTGCCCATTTATTTACTTATTTATTTGTTTGTTTATTCGTTCGTTCATTCATTTATTTTCTTCAGACAGAACCTCACTGTGTAGCCCAGGCTGGGTTAGCTCTCCGGGTTAACTCTCCAAACCCTGGGGCTTTCCACACCCTAATGAATTCCACCGCCCCCGCCTCACCCACCCCCCAGCCATCCAGACTGCTCCAGGCCTCTGATCCCACTGTGCCTGCTCTCCCGCCCACCATCTTGTGTGAGTGCACAGTAGCCGCTCCTCAGCAAGCCTTTAGACCGAACTCAGATGCGGATGCGAGCTCAGCCCTTCTACCCCAGGCCC